CGCATCTCAGAATGTTGTCTCTTTTGCTTATGGGCGTTCCTACGCGGAAGTTCGCGATCCTTTTCTTATTGAACTATTGGCGCTTCGAGATGCCATGCGTTGGTGCCTTTCTCATTCCGTAACTAATGTTCTGTTTTGTGGTGATGCGCAGGTCGTTATCCGGATGGTGGCCGCGAAGGATTCGAATCACGCTTTGGGGGGGGGGGGGGGCAATCCTGAATGAGGTTCAGGTGCTACGGACTTCTCTTGCGCGTGTTTCTTTTCATTTCGCTCCTCGTAGGTATATCAGGGCTGCCCATTGCGTGGCAAAACAGGCCCTCGCATCGATGGTTCAGCGTCTGGTTGACCATCGTTTTGCTCTTATTTCTTTTCCCTGACCGTTTGGTCTTGTATATTTTCGTATCTTGCTATTCCTTCCGGAATATCTTTGACAAAAAAAAAAAAAACTGCTTTTCAGGGATTCAAATTTTACTTCCATCCACGATTCCACGTCATCACATACTCGCTCTCTCTCCATCATCTCTCTATTTAAAAAATCCTCCTTTCCAACATCCGATACCCGTTCTTCCCTTACCATTCACCGCAAAGGTTCGTCTTCCAAATCTGCAAAACTTTCATCTCCGCTTCAGCGAGTAAACGTCAAGCCTGCAACTAGCGACTTCAGCGCTGTGAATCATCTGCCAACGGTGCCCAGTCGAATGATGCGCTCTTATTTGACAGTCTGTAGTCTGTACTTTCGATTTCAACCTCGATCTGTCATGTTTAATCGCCCGGAACTAAATCCCCTCTGATCAACATGTCAAATCGTGCCGACTCCTTATGTCTCTCCCACTAGATTGAGATTCATTCCAAAGCAGCATTAACGAATTGTTGAGAAATTTCGCGGTCGGGACTTGAGGTTATGGAGGGGAATCGTACTGAAATTGGAGTCGGAAGATACAGGGAGACGAGAAGAGGCGATTGGAGTCAGCGGATCTGAGGGAGTTGAGAAAGTATCATGCAGAGCAACAACACAGTATCAACTTCAACAAAGCCATCTTCCCTCTTTAATCTCATAGGCTGTCCTATAGGCCGTAAGGGTCTCTGCTCTCAATCGGTTTGCTTCTGAATTTTCCTTTTCAATCGCTTTGGTTTCTGCTCTTCATCCAATTGGTCGGGTTGAATCCTCTGTCACAGATGCATATATAATTCCGGTTCCAAATTGCATGTCCTTATGTTTATCATGAGTTATTATGTTTCCGATGAAAATTATCTTTGTTTTAATGTTGTTCTTCAATTGTAATTATAATACACTTTCCCCCACTACAGAAGGGCAAGTGATGTTTCAAAATCACAATAAGTATGATTAAAGTGACATTAATAGATGACATGCAGTCTCCATTTGTTGACGATTACACAAAATCTGCAACAATCTTCTTCTACTGTTGATACTAATTTGCAGTAGGTGTAGTGGTGGGTGCTCCCACCATAGCCATCTTCGTTCTCCAATTCATAGATTTTGGACCTTTTGACTGGAAGCTTTAAATAAGCCCTTTGTTTTGCTCAGTTCGATATGTTTACCCATGTCGCTAAAAATGTGGATATCTTCTTTCAACCTCCAATTTAGAGTGCGCTTATGTTGACGTGTCTATTTGGATTGCTCCTAAGATTCATCATATTACCTGTTTAGATCGACTGGCTAAGGTACGGAGGAACTGATAGAGTAGGATTTAGGTTGATGCAAAATTCTGTTTCAGTTTAGAGCTATGGCAATATTGTCTCTTAAACCGAGCAAGTGGTTAGTGAATGCATGTTGATGTTGGTTCCATTGGGTAAACACGCATTGCATATACTACTAAGTCATTCCACATTGGGTTTCCTTTGCTGATTGCTTTTTAAGTAGCCTTAAACATATCGGGCATCACGTTTGACTGTACTACCTAGAAATTCTATGTCCATCATATCGTTGTCTTACTCTCCCATTTTTCAAACTCCAAATGTATTAGTTTAGTATGACCAAGTTGCTTCTCTAATTATGTAGTTTGCTCATATTTTCTTATGTCGTGCCGATGACAGTAGATCCATAAGTTATTTAAACAAGGTGTACATCGTACGTGATAGATCCTCATTCCAGTTATTCAAGCATGTCTTTTGGTTGGTAAATCGTAATTAATGGATCCTTATTCCAGTTACTTAAGCATGTCTTTTGGTTGGTACGTAATGCATCAAAGGTTGAGAATGTCAAAGGAAAAAGGGGTTGCTTGAGGGAATTGCAAAGTAAATCCAACAGCAGTGTAACATATCACTGGTTTGGATGAAGAGGCTTATTATACTGTCCATCACTTGCATTTTCGACTTGCTTTACATTATCTCAAATCCATCACAACTTCAACCAAAACTTCAGTGCAATATACGTCTAACTTAATCTGTCTATCCACTCAACCTCTCTTCCCTACAGTAATACAACCATATTCGGCTTAGTGACTGAAATTTTGGATTGAATTACACAATGAAAATATGGTTACTCTATATTTATAAAGAAAAGCATATCAGATCAAATAAAAAAGGGAGAAAATGGGAAATCAAATCATCAAAACTTCCGGCCAAAGACCGGGCCCACATCTAGTCTAATTCTAAAGAATATATTATACATTTTCCCGTAAAAGAACTACCGGCCAAAGGGGGAAAAGTTAATCTGCTAACTTGAAAATTCGTTAGCAGATACTAACTGATATCCAAAATACATGAATTAGTATCCAAGTACTAAAGTATCTAGAAAGCACAAACTAGTATTCAAAATTGGCTAACTGATATCCACCATGAATCAACTATTATCCCAAATTCACAAACTAATATCTAAACAACACAGAATAGTATCCATACAGCACATAAATAGTATCCATACAGCACATAAGAGTATCCAGATAACACATAAAGAGTATCCATATTGAATACTAATTGGTTGGTTGTGAATATTAGTTGGTATCTACTATCTGGATACTAGTTTGTGATGTTTTGAATACTAGTCTGTGCTATCTAGATACTCAACAGACTTGGATATTAGTTCATACATTTTGGATATTAGTTAGTATATACTAACGAATTTTCTAGTTAGCAGAATAACTAGGCTGGGCCAAAGGCCGGGCCCACAGCTAGTTATAGTCTTTACTTGGTTTCAATTTGTCTTCAAATTTAACTAAAAGCTGTAATCGTAAACTGCTTAAAATATAGGACTCTTCTGTGAATCGTGCAAACTTTAGGCATGTATGAGTTAGTTATCACTTATCAAGGACAATTAATCAAATCGGAGCCGGCCATCTGAATCGCAAACAACTGCAGCAATTGCTATCGGCGCAGATTTTCTCTGCGTAACCCAAACAGCCTTCACCTCCGGTTCGTATCTCTTTCACTAGATTGAACTTAATCGAATCGCCCAACTCCTGTGTCTCTGTTTTCATTCTAGGGTTCCTCTAACTCGATTTCAATCCGATTAACATGTCTCGCGGTTCATCAATTCTCTGTTCTGTTCTGGATCTAATTCGTCTCCGAAACGGTAATGCGCGATGATTGCAGGGTTGGGATCAGACGAACAATGGACGAGCAAGGTTCCGATAACATAAAGAAGTGGATTGTGCTGTACCCGGTCTACATAAATTCCAAGAAGACCATCGCCGATGGCAGAAGAATCGGTGCTCAAAAGGCTTGCGAAAATCCTACCTGTATTGAGATTGCCGATTGTTGCAAACACCTCAGTCTCCGCTACGCAATTGAGGTTTGTTTAACAAATTTGCGACCCTTTGATTTCAGTCTATCTTTCTTCCATGTTTGGGGAACGTATTTGGACTCAGAAATGGTCGTCTACTTGTAGCCTGATAAAGCGTATCCCCGGGATTTCATGCAAAGAGGGAGGGTTAGAGTGTTGCTGAAAAGGGAAGATGGAACTCCCTACAATCCTTCCATTCCGACCCGTAAGTACCTAATGGGTTTAAGCATATACAGCAGTGGTGATGAAAGTGTTGGATTTCGTAGGCTTGATAGGGAATTCAATTCTTCGAACAATGGTTGTTGATTAGAATGACATGATTTTGACCATCTATAAGCATGTGAAGTGAACAACACTAAGCAAATTAGTGGTATATGTTTCTGTGGAACTGTTTTGTCCGAAGAATGAAGCTCTAGTTCGGCAGGTGCTGCTTCATCTGGTTACTAATTCCTTCCTTCAACACTAGTAACCGTGTATGCTAGCGGATGAAGCAGATTTGTGTTGAAATTTATGTTTGTCAGTTCGGCTGCTTCTAACTTCTGTGGTATTGAGATGAGATGGTTCTTAAACATGAATGAGCCAATTTGTATTTGTGGGCTTCTGTCAGGATTTTACTGGTCTCAGTTCATTAACAGTATATTCAGAATTTTAGTTTGAGGACTACTGCTATATCTACTATCTGCCCAAATCATTCCCTGGGCTTCTGGTCAAATTTTAGTGCTCTTTCTGATGTTGGTCGTGTTGTATTACAGGAAAAGAACTAATGCTCCGTGTGGCTGAGCTGGTTCCTCGACATCCAGGAAGGACTAGGAAGCAGGAACCTGCATCTACTTCAACTTCCGGAGCGTCCAAGTCTGAAAAGGGTAGAAAGAAGAAGAGGTAGTAGCTCGCTCAGAAGTCATCTCTTTCACAGAGTAGGTCATGATAGAGCTGCTATGAGTGTGATGCCCCGGCAAAGTTATCTGAGAAATCAGTTGACCTACAGATGTATTTAGTTGGCTCTACAACCAGTGTACTTGGCACATACTGAAAGAAACTTCTGAGCCACCCTCAGGGTAGAAACTTGGAGCTTAGTTTAATTTGAACACCAGATGAAGTTGTCTCCTGCTGCAGAGTTTTCCATTTGCAGTAATACTGTCCGGTTACGCCAATGGTTAATTATTTTTTTCATTGTTCAGAGTATTTCATCCACCTGCATTGGTGATGGTGGTTGCCCGGTATATGGTTCTTCTACATCGTTTGTTTTCGGGTAGGCACTCCTAATAAGAGCTCCATAAAGTAAGGTCGAGCCACGTTTAATCTTGTATTCTTCCTTTACCTTACATTTCACAGAGATCACTCTCATAAGAACTGGGAAATGTTGGACAAAACTTTCTGGTAAGACCCAAATATTACAATTTCCGGAATAGGACAATGGAGTCTTCCATGAAATACTACTATCAGATCCAATTCAAAACGACCAATGTAAGAGAGATGTAATAGCCCTAACCAATAAATTCAACTCAGGCCTTTTGGGTTGAGAATCCAAGGATGAATTCCTTGAACTCCTCACTAGCTCTATCGAGGGCGGTCCTCCCATCTACATCCTTCACACTGTATTTTGCTCCTGCTCTCAGTAGCTCTTCTAGTTTCGGCTTATCGCCTTCAGATGCAGCTAGCATCAACAGTATGTCCACTGGATGGATGTTCTGGCTCAAGAGTGCTTCCATCTTGTCATATGTACCTTCAACAGCAAGCATTCCCATGTAGTTGAAATACTGCAAATTTAGAAGCAACCAAGAGTAAATAAATTCATAGGTAAATTTTGCCATATACGAAATGAACTAATAACTTGATGTTCGAGAGCAACGGAGTCATTCTCCGTCATAAGACTATTCACTCTCAGTAGCATTTGAAGCCAGATTATACAGTATAGAACTGGGTTATACAGTATACAAAAATAGAACGGGTTAGATTGCTGAAACCCTACCATTCCTTATAGGAAGCAGCCATCCTGCTCCCTAATAACCTTCTTGCACACCAACATCTGCAGTCTGCACTGATACTCAGAAGCGAGACTTCTTATTTGCACTAAGCTACACGTTAATTCCCTGCGTACTAATGATGTCCTATCCTCAGTGTAGTACATGTCTACATGAGTTTGCTGCAAATGGTTCTCTCTGGATTCACATAAGCAAGATCAAACCCAACTCAGGATTTAACATTTCCTATCCCTTTCCTCCCATTCAAGTGAACTCTTCAAATAACAAGTCTCATCTTCCATTATGGTGACATAACTTAATATTCTGTTCACTAAGAACAGTTGAAAGACTAAGCACTGAGAGGCCCCAGTTATCTCTCTAGCAGAGCTTTCTGATGCAGCAGTTCAGCTTTCTAACTTGACATCTACAACACCGGAAACAGATCAGTGATGCACCAAACTTTTCCATGGAATTCACTGTTGCTCAAAGCAATTGCAATTACTCCCTCCCTAACTTCTCTCCCACCAGTGGAAAGAATGAAAGAAAATGGTAACATAAATGAAGTAAACCATAGAAATGACAACCAAATACACCAGCACAAAGGAATCATGAGACTGAGAGAGGACCTGTTCGACATCGTCTCTGTCGAAATCGTCACGGGCCTGGCTGCCATAAATCCCAGCTCCTTCAGCATCAACGCCGTTCTTGCCGAACTTAAACCAGCACTTCACTCTCGAGCCGTTGGAGGGTCCGATACTGCAGGGTCGGACCCGGTTTTGGAACCCCAGAAAGGAAGAAGTGAGCTTTGTAGCAGAGGACCGAGGATGCGAATGTCTGGAAGAGAAATGGTGGAGGTGGGCGGTACTTGTACATGGGATTGAAGCCATCTCTGCGGCTCTTTCTTTCTTTCTTGTGGTTCCCGGCTTCAACTTCTGCCTATATCCACTCAACAATGGGGGAAAAAGTGTGTTAGCTCATCGCTGGGAGGCTGGGAGCTGTATGAAAGAGAAAGGATAGGATGTGTGATGTGTCCGAACGTAGGATTGCATTGGCAATTTGGCATTCATTAATTCGATCCAAAATCTATAAAACTTCAGTGCACCCGGTTCACCATGTCATAATACTGATGTGGTGCACCCGACCAATAGGGATTTGCCACCTATAAAATTCATATTAATTAGTTAGAATTTTTAGGATTAACTTGCCGTAATTATTTTTAAGTTTCTCTTTCTTCATTTATTCACCGATCTAAATCATCTTCTTTCTTCTTCTAGTTTCCTATTGTTCTTCTACTTCGTTCCTTTTTATTTATTCATTAATCAAAATCACCAATAGCCAAAAGTACCCTTTCCATGAAACAAAAAAAAGTCATTAACCCAAGCATAGTTATTAGTTAGTAATTACTCTCCTACCAAAAAAAAGTTAGTAAATATATATTATGTTTAATATGTGTATACACGTACGTATTTATCTGTTTAAAACTTCTTTATCCGTATTATTGTCAAGTCGTTTCATTTTTTTCCGTTCATTTGATGGCTGTCGTACTGAACACGTATAAAACCCGTATAACACGTTTAATATCCGTAATTAATGAATTAAATTTTTAATTTTACTATTTATATATATATAAAAAATAATTAATTTTATATTTTTATGACTATTAGACGTAACATTAACTTAGAGACGAAGTAAAACATTCGTACGTATTTTCTACGTAACTTTCCTGTATCGTATTTTACTAACTATGAACCCAAGTCTTTTAAGGGAGCTTTGAGAATTAAAGTTCCACTGACAATGGCTTTTGTATTGATTGAACAAAAAAATCCACTAGAATGGTGTTTGCAATCTTTTGTCACAGGCGTTGACGTAGTTAGGATTCCGTTTATGTTTTACGTTGACTAAAGTATTTTTATTTTCTGAAAATACTCTAAAAGTAAAATAGCATATTATATGTCTTTTATGTTATAGAGCACGAAACGGAACTAACAACTGTTAACCAACGGTTCTATAACGGGTCAACCCTGAATAATAAAGTACCGACTTTTGAGTTCAGCATAGGGTTCGATTCTGGAAAAAAATGCTTTAACCTTGCACAAACTAGACTGGATCGTATATTATAAATGACAAAACTATTTCGAATATTTTATTATAGTTTGATGGTTGGAAGATTTATACATACTATTAACTTATGGGGAAAATATTTGATGGAGATTCACCATAGTAGTTGTTCTACTATATAAGAGAGAGTGTTTTAGAGCAGAATAATATATATATATATATATAATGGTTTCCTTCATAAAAAATAAACAATCATATATATGTGCTGATTTGGTGCAGTAAATATGGAAAGACGGAAGATTAACAGGAATTTAGGATAGAGAGAGGAGAGGAGAGAGGATCGCCGAACTGAAAAACAGCTGTGACCATATTTAAATTAAGTTATACCACCTGTATAATTCCTATTGGTTGGGAGCACCAACAAAGCAAAATGAGGTGGTGCACCGGGTGTACTGAAGATTTTCTCATGTCAGCCATTTCCAATCAGTGTTTTCATCACAGTTAGACAAAAATTGAGTTGATGAGATGTAAAATATTTTCTAATGATAAGAAAAATATTGATTGAAATGATGGGTAATTGTTTGATAATAAATTCATTAATTAGTAAAATGTTCATGTTTGGTAATTGGATAAGCATTTCGTTTTTTTTTCCTAAGGAGAAGAGTATTGAGTGATTACTATTTGATCATGTATGTTTTTAAAAGTCACTGGTATTATGTAAATATTTATATATGGATGACCAATGACCTACCACATTAGATGCTCACTTGGGAGTTACATGTAACCCCTATTTCTACATCATTATCTCTCATTCATATGCATTGATATAAGGATGTAGTGGTTACCAAAATGTGCCTATAAATATAGCACACTATTGTATCAAAAGTGAAGAATGAATAAAAAGAACTCTTCCTCTCTCTTCTCTTGTATCTTTCTCTCTCTAATTTTCTCTTGTAGTTGTTTATATTTTCCATTAGTTTCATAACACGTTATCAGCACGGAGCTCTGCCAAAATTATCATTGCTCACTCAAAGACTCTCAACTTAATCTAAGATATTGGAGTAATATCACAATATGATCAAGGTATGTAAATCTTAGATCCTTTCTTATCTTATTGTCTTATTTGTGTTGAGATTATCTCATTCCAATATATCAAAATGGGTGCTATTCTTTTCTCGTATCCATTGATATTTTATCACGTCAATCTATTTGGAGTAACAAGAAAAGTAATATAAGTGATGAGTTAATTTTTCAATTCTCCGTGTTATCCTGTTCTTATCAATCCCACATTGATATTTAGAAAATCCAAATTCCAAAAGCCCATATATTCCCCAGAAGTGGAAATTGAAGAATTCAAGGGCAAAGAAAGAAAAGGACATGGTAACCAGAATATTGATTTTGTATGTTACCATTGTAATGGAAAAGTGCATTTGTCTCGTACCCGTTGTACGCAAAAGACTTTATTCTACCAAGAATTAAAGAGAAGAGCAAATTCAAATATGCTCATGCAATATCAATATTATGGAATATATTTTTGTAATATAAGTTGGTATATTCTCCATTAAAGATGAAAATGATATCACTTGAGAAATTTTCATTTCCAGAAGTTAATGAAATAATTTATTCTCCGAAGTGAATGGAGCTATAAACATAATTATATATATGTTAATTGTATTGTTTGGATATTTTCACCAGAAGTGAGAAAAGAGAAGAAAAAGGAGAATTATAAATAAGTATGACACAACAATTATATTATCAAAGTCATGATACCATAAGGTACCTATTGTACATTGAAATGTATAATGAAAGGCATATATCTTTATTTTTATTAAAAGGCATATATAAATTTAAAATCACCTAGTTATTGATGGTATTGTTCCAAATAAATCTTATTTATTTTTCAAAATTGTGGTATTATGATTCTTATTTCTTTTATGTTTTATTGTGACGTTATTTTTCATGTATAATTTAATTTGATAACATTTATCTAGAACAATTAACTTGATAAGTTCATCATTTTTGTCTTAAGTTTGAAATATTCTCATTTATTATTTTTAGTATGTTTTTGTAAAGTATGAGTGTTGGAAAATTCCATATAAACTATATGATAGAGTACATAAATAAGAAAAGGCTTCCGAAGAGCTTATGTTTGGTTACTTGAAGTAACTAAATTGTACTCGTGATAACAATTTGTGATGATATTCACCATGAATATGTGTTTACTAAGAATGCATCAAATCATAAGTCCCCGGAAGGGCAAAATATGATAAAGCTCTAAAAGGGCTAATGTTTTATGTTATATTAGTACTATCAGTACGCATAAAAATGTAAACCAGAAGTTTACAAGATTTAATAACTTGATAATTGGTTGGTCCGGTTAGACCATCCCGGATCTTGATGTGAAAAAATTCTTTGAGAATTCATGAGAACATCATATGAGAATTCAAAGAATTCTTCAGGAGTTATTATGTCATGATTGTTCTCAAGGAGAATAGAACAATTGATCATCGCTTGTATAAGAGTTGACAAATCTCTTGAGATTTTATGGACGTGTATGCAGAACAATACATCAGTCATGTGGATCATTTGTGAATTTTACGGGTTTCTGCATCAAATGTATTTTATCTAATCGCAACCCGATGTTTGCGAGATTGGTTGTCTCACTATGGATACATTTTGATGGTTATCCAATCAAACATCACTTTGCTTAATAGAACAAGCCGAGCCTTCTGGTCTCTAGTCGAGGACATGCTAGCTGACAAGTGATAGTATTGGTTCACATCTAACCAACAAGTTATCATAAGTTCCCCCCCCCCCCCCCTTTACAAATGATTTTTGTAAGAAACCTAACATTTCTCATATGAGAATATCAGGGTGTGCCGTATACATCCCAATTGCTCCACCACAGTATCTTAACTTGATTCTCGTTGGAAATTGAGAATTTGTGTTGGGTATGAATCCCAAATGGGAAATTTATTTGCGAAATTATTGTTTTGATGAATCACTTTTCAAACATTAAGGGGGAGAGAAAAAAAAAACAGCTAGACAAAAAGATGAGTTGGAATGAGTTATCATTATATCTAGTTTTGATCCTCAAATTAAGAAACATGAACCAGAAGTTCATAAGATGAATTATCATTACCAACTATCAAATGCCTTTACTGTCCATACGAAGTGACCAAGTCACATATACTAGCTGTGAATGCTCCAAATAAATTTGATATCCTTGTTGGATACTTTAATATATAAAAAATGTGTATGAAAGAGCGCATGAAACATGATAGACCAATCGGTTCCAATTATAAACATCCTCGAGAAAGAAAAGGAGCTGTAATTAGAATGGTCAACTCGAGGACATGAAAACTCAAGAAGAGTAACCAAGAATAAAATATAATTTTAGTTCCAGAAGAACACATGTCTCTGAAAGTTGTGAAAGCGAAGAGATCTCAAAACCATATTAGACTACAATACTGGAACCGTAATGAAATCATTGTCGATGAAATTTGTTTGTTGTAATTCAGTACTGAATAAGATATGTACAATGTGAGGATCAAGAGTAAAACTCTATTGATGCATGCAAATGATGATGTTATTGGCCAATATAGAAAGAAATCATGAAACTTGCTCAAGGAGCATAAAGTTTAAGGACCAGAAGTCCTTGCACCTAAAAAAAAAGGGGCGCAAAACTAGCGGGATACAAACAAATTTTTGTGCTATTGGAAAGTATGAAATTGTGAGAGATATCACATAATGTTTGGCAATGGGTTTCTCGAAGAGACCTACCATTGTTTAAGAGGAGTTATACTCCCCTGTGGTGGATGCAACTACTTTTTCAAATCAATGTTTGAAATTTGTTTGAATTCCCTGAAGATGTTATATATATTTGAAACTCCCAGAAGGATTAGTTACTCCTAGAAGGATTAATTTACCTGAAGTAAACAAGTATAGTTCTCGAGAACATATATAGATATACTAAGAAAATCTCTTGTGTGGGTTGAGACAATATAGACGAATGTGAAATACTCGTCTAAGTGAACGCCTACAACAGTAGGGTGAATGTACCTTAATAGGTTAAATTCAGATAGAGTGCATACGAGTATTTGCATTGTGCATATATAGTTGTGTTGTCTGTATGTGTTTGAAGGATTTTAAATTCTTGATTTATGAGTTGTGATTTACTTTAAAGTATGAGTTGTGTTTTATGAGTGTGCTTTGTCTAGTTCATATGTTTCTATGATGTGAGTTTTGTTATTATCTTTCGTTATATGAAAGAGTTGCTTGCATCAATTTGTGTTAGTTAAGTTTTTTTGTGACGATCTCATATTATTTGATGATATGACTATTATTGGATCTCCTGAAGAGTTTCCTAAAGCAGTTGATTGCTTAGATACATAAGTCAAATTGAAAGATTTAAGATCCTTTTTATGGACAAGGAAGGTAATGTTGAAAAAGTGGGAAAGTAATTTTGCATGAACGAATTGTGTTCATCAAATAACATTAGGATCCTAAGATCACTAGAAGTGACCAAAGATCCATTTAGAAATCAAGAAAGAAGTGAAACATTAGGTCCTGAAGTACCATATGTTGATGGATTAGAGCACCAATGCACCTTGGTAGCCAAGCACCATATAAACTATCATTTTGGTGTTGATAATATTGGCAAGATACAATTTTTCCCTCATTAGAACGGTTGAAAATACTTTGTTACCTCCGGGAACAACATATGCGATTGTTCTATTATGGTATTATCAAAGAGAGATTTGGTAAATTGTATATCCAAATCCTATATATCATTTGATCCTCATATTGGTTGATCGGAGACGAGCTATCTCTTACATATGGTGATATAAATATTTCATAAAGAAACAAAACAAACTATAATGGGCAAGTCCTGAATGTCTTTCGTTACACTTTGTGATCCACCATATCTCAAGTACTTGTGGTTGTGAACTATTTTCAAATGAAATGATCCTGACGATCATGTATGAAGAAAATCTAAAGATCATGCATCAAATCGACAATCTAGAAGATTGTTCACTAACTCACTCCTGACAACAATCTTTCTAAAAGTTGTTCGTGAAATTTGAGTTCAACGACTCAATAATCTGAAGTTATGTGGTCATGAGGGGGAGCATATACGCACTGCACTCTTTTTCCCTTAACCATGGTTTTTTCCAATGGGTTTTCCTGGTAAGGTTTTTAACGAGGCAGTATGATATAGCGTAATGCAATCTAGTGGTCATCCAAGGGGGAGTATTATGTAAATATTGATATATGGATGACCAATGACCTACCACATTAGATGCTCACTTGGGAGTTACATGTAACCCCTATTTCTACATCATTATCTCTCATTCATATGCATTGATATAAGGATGTAGGGGTTAAAGACACATTTGGTCACCGAGATTACAAAATCGGGACATGTTTAGTCACTAGAAAAAATTAATATCAAATTTGGTCACTACAATTACTAAAACTGGACACATTTAGTCACTCGCCGTTAGTCTCCGTCCAACTCCGTTAATAAAGTCCGTTAAGTGATGATATGGCAAACAGAATTGCCTAATCAGCCGGATATAACCCAACAAAAATAAAACCCGACCCGCCACGTCATTATAACCCGCCACATCATTTAAACCAACCCAACCCAACCCAACCCATGACCCAATCCCACCCAACCCTTCTTCCTCCTTCCTCTCACCTCCTTCTTTCCCCAAAACCACCGCCGCCTGCCGCTCTCCTCCTTCCTCCCACCACCTTCCAACCCACTTCCGTGCTTCCTAGCAAATTCCCTCCCGAACCACTGAAGGTTTGTTTCTCTCGCCATTTTGTACCTTAAACACGATCGGAGAGAAAGCTTCGATTAGGGTTTTGTGAAACTCATCGGCGGGGAATAGAAAGCAAGCAAACAAATGATGATCGGCGGCAGCTCCCACTGCCCTACATGTAAACGTAGAAAGAAAGCTCGCAAGATCAAGGATAGGCTCAGCAAACTCCCCGACCATCTCCTCCGTCGCATTCTCTCCTCCGTCGACCCGAATTCGCCGTCCAAACTTGCCTTCTCTCCCGGCGGTGGAGATCCGTCTGGAAAGGCGTCCCCGCCCTCAATTTGGACTCCAAATCCTTCAACAATACTGGCCATAGCTTCAACAAGTTCGTCTCCGAAATCATCTCCCGCCGCTACGACTCCGCCCCAGTCGATGAAATCAGCTTAGAAATTAGGGGCGCCTTTGACCATTCTTTCAGCGAGTCTTTCTCGATGTACCAGAGGCTCTTCGATTACGCGGCCTCGCATGAGATTCGACACTTTCGCGCCGCCGATGAGGAGTATGGAGAGCTCTGCCATTATTTTAACGATGCGGGATTCAGTTCCCCTGCTTTCAGAATGCTCGCGACTCTGCACCTGAAGGAGTGCCAGGTGTATTACCCCGGCAGCATCGACGGGCTCGACCAGTTCGCCGATTTCCCGACGACCTCCTTCAATTTCCAGGGAGAACGGCAGGCGGCGGTGGTTTTGGGGAAAGGAGGTGAGAGGAAGGAGGAAGAAGGGTTGAGTGGGGTTGGGTCATGGGTTGGGTTGGGTTGGGTTGGTTTAAATGATGTGGTGGGTTATAATGACGTGGCGGGTCGGGTTTTATTTTTGTTTGGTTATATCTGGCTGATTAGGCAATTCTGTTTGCCACATCGTCACTTAACGGACTTTATTAACGGAGTTGGACGGAGACTAACGGCGAGTGACTAAATAATGTGTCCAGTTTTAGTAATTGTAGTGACCAAGTTTGATATTAATTTTTTCTAGTGACTAAACATGTCCCGATTTTGTAATCTCGGTGACCAAATGTGTCTTTAACCCAAGGATGTAGTGGTTACCAAAGTGTGCCTATAAATATAGCACACTATTGTATCAAAAGTGAAGAATGAATAAGAAGAACTCTTCCCCTCTCTTCTCTTGTATCTTTCTCTCTCTAATTTTCTCTTATAGTTGTTTATATTTTCCATTAGTTTCGTAACAACCGGAAATTTATTATCATGCATGTTATTGCCTTCGTTACTAGTAGTCATAATTTGACAAAGAGGAGAAGAAACAAAAAATCACAACCAAGAAGTGGGTCAAGAATATGAAGCTGGAAACGATGAATGTGAAACAAAATAGGCAAAATACACTTGCATAGCCAAAACTTTCACCTTTATGCCACTTATAGCCACATTTGGCGAAATACCACTAATAGCCACTTCCGTCCAATTCTTTAACGCTGTTAACGTTAAGTGTGACTGGACAAATGGAAGGGCTTACGTGTCAAGCCTGCGTTTTACACGTGGATAAAAAAAAAACAGAATCCCTAATATTACCCTCCTCTCCGTCTCTCTCCTCTACTCTCGCCTCTCTTCCTCTTCGCCCCCAATCAGCCGACACCGCCACCGTCTCTACCCCCGAATCACCTCCCCTCGACAATCAACTCGTTATCAACTCACCCGTAAGTGTAAACATGATCAGGCTTTTTCCGAGAAGCAGCCATAGAAAACAAGGAGAATGTAAGAAGACCACACCCGAATGTAAAATGAAATGCATCAGATACCAAACCTGTAAAAAGAAACGAAATGGAAGCAAACCCAATTACTAACTCCATATGCATACAATCTATTATACTTTAGAGCTTCAAAATTTCCAGAAAGTTGCAAAATTTCTTACCGACACGGCCACTAATAAGCCCAATCCCGAACTCGGTCGTAGAATAAGCAACATTGAGGAAAATCATCAGGAAAAGCCTCTTCATTTGCCGGTTGCCATACCTTATGGCCCTAAACGCGGATACCACCGACAATTTCTCACTCCTCCCGCCGGCGGCCGAGTCATTGGAATCGCCAAAAGCACCGTCCTTTTGGTAATTGAAAGAGTAATGCCGTCTCTCTCTCTCCTCTACTCTCGCCTCTCTTCCTCTTCGCCCCCAATCAGCCGACACCGCCACCGTCTCTACCCCTGAATCACCTCCCCTCGCCGCCGCAGCGACGCCAATTCCGCCTCCATTATCCGCGCGAACCCCCTGATTTCCGACTCCAGCAACGACAACAACAGCATTCCGGGCGACGATGCACCGGCCAAGATCGATGAGTTCGACAACCTGGAGGACCAGACCGACACCGCCGCCGCCGTCAACGAAGACTGCGATATGTCTCGTACGAGAGGCTACAACTTAGCAGCCGGAGGTAGCGGCGGTGGAAGCAAGGTGAGCAATAAACCTAATTGCTTTATGAGACTAGTGAGAGAGAGAAGGGGCAAGTCCCCCATCGCAAAACCAAATCCCCCCATCCCCAAATAGCAAAACCCAATCCGAAAATCTAAATTCCATCCCCCAATTTGCAGCTCTACAAAAAATCCCTCCAATTAGTCGCTCAACCAACTTCCCTTATCTCTGTATTTTTTCTGGGTATTGCTCAAGTTCAACCTTCCATGAATCTAGGTCAGAAAGAATTGGGTTTTTGAGGTGTGGTCGTTTTCTGAAAAGAGATGGGGAAGAAGGAAGACTCGTGCGATCAGGTAAATGGGGAAAGTGTTAAAAAAATTAAATAATAAATAAATTATTAAGATGATGTGTCAATTTTTGCTTAGTTGTCAATGACGTGGCTGATGATTTGGCGCCTCGTCAGCCGACCGTCAAATAAGTTGACGGAGTTATTAACACCGTCATAGTTTCTAACGGAAATGGCTATATCTGGCACGCAACATCTTTTAAAAGTGGCTATTAGTGGTATTTCGCCAAATGTGGCTATAAGTGGCACAAAGGTGAAAGTTTTGGCTATGCAAGTGTATTTTGCCAACAAAATATAAAACAACTTAACAACGTAGAATTTCCACTTAAAAAGTGTCCTAGAACAGTAGGGTATACAAGTACATTTTGCCAATCAAATATGCTCCCAACATACATTCGTTCGCTTCAAATTAAGGATGGCAATGGGTCGGGTTGGGTCGGGTTTTGCCAAATCCAAATTCAAACTCATGGGTTTATCCGTGTAAAATATCCGGGTTAAAACTCATTGGGTTGTAAAACTCAAACTCAACCCAACTCGTTGGGTATCTGCGGGTTTATGGGTACCCAGGGGTTATTGTCGTAAAAAATTTACAATAACCAGTTCCTATCAAAATAAAAGTCAAATATCAATCTCTAAATACAAAGTATCCATATATAAAACACCATTCTAGAAAATTCAAGTAAATCACAGATTAACCATACAAATTGTTCAACACCAATCTAGAAAACTCAAGAAAATTGAAACAAATCACAAATTATCCATAAACAACATAATTGATTAATTGAAAGCTTCTTCCTCATTGTCAATTAAGTTTCTTCACTCTCTACTCGATAATATCAACTTCATACACAATTAGAAAGATAAAATTAGACATGTCTCCACGAACATAAAAAAGATTAGTTGTTTAGAATATTAAATATATCAGGAAAATTAATTATATGGGTGTGGACGGGTACCCATAGGGCGAGTTTACCTAAACTCAAACCCAACCCGATGAATAGTGAACGAGTTTAAACCCCGAACCCAGCCCATAACCCGTCAACACATGTTTTACCCACGTTGACCGGATTGGGTTGGATAGGGTACCAGTGAGTTCGGATTTTTTCCCCATCCCTACTTCAAATCACACCAACAAAACCCCAAAATCTCACCTAAACCAATTTTTATGCAAGAGATGCAAAATTTAAAATAAACTTTATTCAAGTGAAGTCACTTCTTGGTTAAAAATATTATAGGATTTGTGTGACATCTTTCATTCATCTTGCTACTTCCTTCAAGGCATGGAAAAGTAAACAGCCAAGGTACCAGAATTATATGAATTCATATCACCACTAATAATGTTCCTGGCCAACATTTGACAGTAACAGGAAAGTGAACTGAGCTAGCTGTTAAGGATTTGAATGGAGTGGGAACTGCAGTTATCATGTTAAGCTGATGACTCTCACCAAATCCAGTAGAAACCGCATGAATGCAACAAGTTGGCCAAAATTCAGATCATGATTTCCACTAGCTGGCTAAACTTCACATTTTTTTTTTTGATGAATGGGTGAGCTTTATTTCATCAAATACAATCAATTACAATGTTCAACATGAGACTGTACAAGTAAGCAGCCTGCAAGAAAACCAGAAAAGAGATCAACCACTAACTACAGTTTATACCACAAAAGTCCAGACCTAGGTAGATCAGCAAATCCCAGGTCTCCCATCTCCCTAGCTTCCATAACACCCTGCAACTTCCGCACCAGCTCTATAACCGTCATTTGTCTGCCTCCAAACACTCGACGACATCTTTCCCGCCAAATCTCGCTCAGCACTAGACACCACAGGATTCTGCCCACCAAGCATTTGTTGAATCGCCTAGTTGCCTCCATCACTGCATCCTGCAAATTACTGGGCACCGGCAGACCCCACAGGGGGGGGGGGGAAACTACACTCCAAACATCCTGCACATAAGGGCACTGAAAAAACAAGTGAGACTTAGTCTCCATCTCCTGCTCACAAAGAGGGCACATACCAACCACTGCAGAGTTCCAGAGTTTCACCCTATCCATTGTATGGATACGCCCTAGCAATATCAGCCAGGTGAGTGTTGAGTTCTTTGGGATGCCTCCTTTCCATACAAGTGTCGACCAATCTACTTCCTCCCCCCTAGGTCTAATACTATGCCAGACCCTGCTAACCTTGAACCTATCCATCACTTCCCCGTCCCATTCAACTCCTCTATCAGTTAAGCACAACTTCCCTGCAATCTCACTTCGCAACTTCAGAATTTTATTCCAAACCCAAGACCCCCCTGTACTTACCTCCCAAATACTGAGATTTCGGAGTCGATACTCCTTTATCCAGGCAATCCAAAAAGTGTCCAAACCAGAGAGAATCCCCCAGATATGCCTTACGAGGCACGCTTTATTCCAAGAATAGAGATCCTTAAACCCCATTCCACCTTCACTTCTAGGTAATGCTACCGTTTTCCAAGAAACCTTTGCTCGCTTCTTTCTCTCAAAATCACCCCAGAGAAACTGGGAGCATAATCTTTCAACTTCCCTGATAACCTTCTTAGGCAATAAGATGACCTGCATCCAGTACTGCGCCATACTTGCCAGAACAGAAACCACCAATTCAAACTTCCCAGCATATGTCAACAATTTTGGCTGCCATCCCATAATACGCTTCCCAATTCGATCAACCAGATTCTTACAGTCAGCAGCTGACAACTTCCCAGCAGTAAGTGGCAAACCGAGGTATCTAACAGGCAAACTCCCAGCTTGGAACCCTGAGCATTGAACCAGCTCCTCTCTCATAGTTGCAGAGATCCCTGCACTAAAGATCTCGCTCTTGCTCTGATTACACTTTAACCCAGAGATGGAATAAAACTTGGCCAAAACATCAGCAACCACAGAAACTGCATTCACATTCCCCTTAGTGAAAATCAGCAAGTCATCAGCGAAGCACAGGTGTGTTAGGCTGATTCTCTTACACTGAGGATGGAAAGGCAGGAAATTCCTAGCAGCAGCTCTATCTAGCATACAAGTAAGGACCTCCATGCTGACAGTAAACAGATAGGGTGAAAGTGGGCACCCCTGCCTCAACCCTTTTCTAGCTGGGAAGAAACCAGTGAGCCCTCCATTAATACAAACAGAAAAGCCTGTTGACACCAAACAGCCCCTCACCCAATTCACAAATTTGCTAGGGATACCCATGGCAGTTAGTGTACAGAGTAAAAAATCCCAATCAACACTATCAAAAGCCTTCATTATATCGATCTTTAAGGCACATCTGGGGGAAACATTCTTCCTATTATACCATTTAACCATCTCATGAGCTAACACAATATTATCTGTAATTAGTCGCCCCTGGATGAAGGCAGATTGGTTGGGACTAATTAGTTGGGGTAAGACAGTTTTGATTCTGTTGGCCAGGATCTTGGATATGCATTTGTAAACAAAGTTATAGCAGGAAATGGGTCTAAAGTTTTTCATGGTGTTAGCATTTGGGACTTTTGGGATAAGAGCCAAGATAGTAGAGTTTACCTCTTTGCGCAGAGTGCTAGTTCGAAAAAAAACCTGGACAGCCGAGATAAGAAGCTCCCCTACCAGGTTCCAATGTAATTGAAAGAACTCTGCAGGGAAACCATCTGGCCCTGGGGCTTTCCCTCCCTTCATCTTCATAACCACCCTTTTAACTTCATCCCCTGTAACCTGAGCACATAAATCCTCACCATCACCCTCCAGATGAAACTTAAGTAGCCTGCCTAGGGTACCAACCGAGACTCGCTTCAGATTTGGATCTTCTGCCCCTAAGAGTTGTTTGTAGAAATTCACTGCTTCCAGCCCAATTTCTTCAATATCTTCCAGAATCTCTCCTTCCCCTGTGACCAGCTGCTTAATAGAGTTCCTAGCTTGCCTAGTTTTAACCATGCTGTGAAAGAACTTAGAGTTTGTATCCCCCTTTGTTATCCACTGCTGCTTTGACTTCTGGCGCAAGTAACTCTCCTCTGCCTTCTGCAAAGCAAGAAGTTGGACCATACACCTCTTCTCAGCTTGAAAAGTGGAAGAGGCAGGGCGCTCCAACACTTCTTGCTGAGCAAACTCTAACTCTGCTTTGGCCTTCTTAACCCTATCATGGATCTCAGAGAATTGTTCCTTATTTAGGTTCTTCAGGACACCCTTGATACTCCGTAGTTTCTGGTACAACCTTGCCATTGCTGTTCCAGTAGTAGAACAGAGCCAACCTTCATTCACCAAATCTTCATACTGAGGGTGCAATTTCCAGAAGCTAAAATACTTAAATGGCTTGGGCAAGGACTGAACTGCAGAGTCCATTTTGACAAGTAATCCACAGTGATCAGACAAGCCAGGCATAAGAACTGTGACTGAGCTTCTTGGACAGGCTGCCATCCAACCCTCAGTGACAAGGACCCTATCCAGCCTCTTGGCAATTGGAGACTCTGACTGCTTGTTTGACCAAGTGAACCAAGGCCCCAAAACCTTATGATCAATCAGCTCAAGATCTTCAATCCAGTGTTTGAAGTCCTGAGTACTTTCCCCTAAACTTGCTTGATTAGAGCTTTCTGAGCTATCTAAAATTGCATTAAAATCGCCAGCCACCATCCAAGGAATGGAGAGATTCACTCTACCAGCAATCTCCCTATAGGTCTGCCTCCTTTCCCCCACATCATTTGAACCATAAAGAAAAGTGAGTTGAGTTGGGGAACCCTCCTGCAGAATTCCATGGATGAAATTGCTTCCACTGTCAACCACACTGAACCTGAGATCCTTCTTCCAAAGTAACCAGATTCTCCCAACTCCTGTTAAAGAGTATGTTTCTTTGTGCTCCCATCCTGGGAATTTTCCATCTACGACTTTCTTCACCTTTTCTGGACTAACTCTAGACTCCAAAACAGCAACAATGTCTACTCTATATCTATTTACAGCTTCTCTTATACTATCTTGTTTAGCAGGGTTATTAAACCCCCGCATGTTCCAGACAAGAACATTCATTACTTGGAGGAATGTTTTGCCCCTTTCGGAGGCCGACCAGGCTTACCCTTCTTCTTGTTTAAACCATCTCTTCCCAATTCAGGGAAATGAATTGGGTCCTTGTGAGGAGAAACAATGACTTCCCCCACTGAAAACTGAGCCAGAGACGACAGAACCCCAAATGAACCCTGAGTTACCTCAACACCTTCAATGGCTTTGTGAAAATCACCCTCAGAAGGCAGCTCACAGCCCTGCCAAGTTCCAGCATTCACTGTTAGCGATGTAACCAGATTATCCACCGCCAGTTGCAATCCTTCCTGAGCAGGAACTGCTTCACCCGAAACAACCAGTTCTGGCTGGAGACCAGCATCAGCACCTTCTTGCTCTAGTGGAACACTGCCAACCTCAGCCTCCCCCCGAATCTCCTCTGCCTCACTGCACACCACACCCTGAACCCCCTGAGATTGCTGTTCTTCCTGTATAGTCACCTTCGAACAATCATGCCCAAACTGGCAGCACTTAGTACAGACATCAGGCTTATTACAGAACTCAATGGTCACATTATAAGCAGGTCTCCTATCAGGAACAAGCCTCAAGGAATCCGGAAACACTGAGCCAATCTCCATCTCGACACAAACTCTAGGATACCCCAACCTCTGCCCCAGACGAGTCGACTTATCAAACCACAGCGGCCTGCCAATCATACTCGCCAGGCGAGTGAGAATACGACCAGTACTGTGTTCAAGAGGAAGATCGAGGAACCTTACCCAAATTGGAATCGTTTGCTTCGGTTGCTCAGCCCGAATCCCTGGCTCCCATTTCCTCAAGTAGCACATATCATTCTTCAGATGCCAGGGACCGCTAGAGAAAACCCAGTGCGCAGTCTCCGCTGTGGGAAATTGGAAGAGCAAAAGGCGATCCCCCAACCAGGAAACCCTAATTGACCCCTTCTTCCCCCAGAGCCGATTCGCCCAAGACTGAACTTGCCGGATGTGTGGAGAAGAGGAGAGAAATTGACCAACAAGACAATGCTTCCACCTCGCTATGCCCTCCTCTTCCAACTCCGCCGGGATACGCAAGCCTCCATCGACGATTTCAGGCTCCACATACACCAGCCGATTTTCCTCCGCAATCCCGAAAAGCTCCGCCCACGAATGACTCGGAATACTCATCCTCGAAGCCCGAGCAGCAGGGACAACCGTCGAAGACGAACCAGCAAGCCGAATCCAACCACCGGAGGCAGCCTCTCAGCCGCCGGAGACGACGAGACGGCGAACCCTAGCTAGAGAGAGAGAGAGAGAGAGAGAGACGGCGAACCCTCTTTTACGTAGAATTTTACCCTAATGAATGAATCTTAAGTTGTCTACCTGTGTTTAATGTGATATGTCGAGTGATTCATTCTAAAAAAAGTTCCTAAACTTCACATTACAAGTTTCCTAGACCACTTCTTTCCATCTTCAACTCCAAACCCTCTTCGACCAAGAAAGAAACACCTACGAGTCCAGCACTGGAGCGAGAGATGCTTTATGAAGACATGGCTGCAAAAGATCCGGTAGAAATCGGCCAAAGGGACTATTAGGTCCCTGATACTGCAGGAAATCAGGTATCTAAGCCAGCTTCAATCAAGCAGCCGAGAAAGCCCGGACAAGGATCAGTCTAGTGCTGCTGGGACGGCTGCTGCTGGTACCAGTCAATCCAGATCAGTGGTACAAACAAGAAAGAAGAAAAAGAAAGGAGGCAGCCGGCTACTGCCGAGTATATGTTCGATGGTTGATGTATCAGACAAAAATCACTTCTGGGTTCAACTACAAGAACCTGGAAACCAAAACCAAGAAGTTACAAGCTCCCTAGGCGACACTCTCGGATAGCTTTGAGAAACCAAGCTTCTTGAGTTTGCTTGTTAGAGGGGTCGCCCATGTTCCATCAGGGCTACCACATTTGATGTCCACAACTTCAACTAGGTTAATCACCTTCTTATTGCTCCTCTTCTCTCTAACAGGAGTTCTCTCCAGAGTCAAATTATCTGAGCCAAGCATCGGCACTCGATGGCTTCCTTTCGCTTGTTGTTTAGCCTTCCTCAATGTCTCAGGGGTTCTGCTGCCACTGGTACTTGCTTCATCCATAGGCTTTTTTGCCTGTAGCCTTCTAGGAGTGGTGCTAACACTGCATGGAACTGAAACAGAAGCGGTTCGAAGCTTAAGAGCTCGAGGACTTGATGTTTGCGGAGAAGATTTGGCGGACTCAAGCTCCCTTGTCATGAGGGCACTGATTGTTCCAGTAGCTCCAACCTTAATGGATCCCCCACCACCTTTGATGGCTTCTAGTTTCGGTACCATTTTGTGGTGCATTCAGATTCTCACTCTGGAACGAGAATAAAGCTCCCAGACTGAAATCTAATTCAGCTAGGAATGTACAGGCTCAAACCCCAGCTGCAACAATTAGTAAACAGTGATTTCAGTTCAGTGCACATGTCTCATGCAAGAGCTTATCTTCTCCAATATATTACTCCTAACTCCTAAGTTGAAAGAGACATACATAGTGCATCTGAGTAACTCTGCATAAGGAATTTGATAAGTACGGCACCTAAATGAGGCTGCACAAGCAGCAGATGAACTACTTATGGCTATGGGGTAACCTCAAACAGCCAAACTGAAGAAAGGACCATAAGGTAGCTCCAGCTACTTGTCAATCAATATCATCAGGTACTGGGAATATATTTCATCAGGAAGGAGTTAGGATTACAATACATTTGGTCAGGAATCTTGACTGTACCCATTAATTGTAACGATCAGAACAAAAACACCCAAAATGGAAACCCCCATTCTGCAGCAGATCTCCAAAACTTGATAATGATCAGAAATATGAAAACGCCACAAAAAAAAAAAAAAAAAAAAAAGCAGCCACAAGTCTAAACCAAATGATTAGATCTAGGAAAGGGCCATTGGCTTCACCAATGATCAATAACCATACACGAATTTGACAACCCATTCCACTAACAATAACACTGAAAGCGAAGGGACAGCCGACTATCAAACAACACCATCTACACTGCAGAAACCATAAAAAGAAGGGGGGAAAGATCAGATATTTCTTCAAGAGGAGGCTTACCCACAAACCAAAATGGTTGACTAGAGCAGCAGCAGATGATCATAGATGAATCGGACCCCAAGGAAGCAGAGAAAATGGAACAAAACCCACCAAGGATCAGAAACCCCTGTTTTCTTCCTCGAGAAAATGGTTGAGAAGAAACAGAGATGTCGTGGGAGGTGGAGCGGTTGATAGGATAGGTAAGAAGAGCTTGGGCTGGAGGAAACGTTGTCACGTGTGGGTAGATAGCAGGGTCGCCTTCATGGAAGACATCTGGGTAAAGTAAATGATGATAATAATGATGCAAATTGCAATGGAAGGACTGGTGAATTGTGATTCACACTTTCACTCAAACAAAAAGTTAAATAGCAGTCAAGAAGTGGCCTTTTCCGAGCTAAAATACAAAAAGCGGATTTGTCTTTTTACTCTCCGAGTCCCACTGTCAATTCGATCAAGAAGAAAAGGACCGGTCAAATTCACGCCTCACTGAGATTCGTGATTTCAATAATATAAAAACGATTCGCATGCTTTGTTTTGTTCTTTAGGGCAACGGGATGCAAATGCACTCTAATCCAGTAATAATCCTTCATCCAACTGCACATTGTCGCTCGGTTTGGTAACAAGAAGGCTGCAAATTCGAGGCGGGAATAAGTTTTTTTTTTTGATAACGAGGAACACCCTCCACGGTCACCACATTTTGTGATGCCGTAGTGAGGTTAAACCCCGGGACCTCCGCCGACGGTCCAGGTGATAGCGGGATGCCTCCGGGAACACCATGGTGGCGGTGAGGATCGAACCTGGGACCTTATGGTCACCAGTCCTCCTCCCTTACCACCAGGCTATGTGACCTTTGGCGGCGGGAATAAGTTAGAAGGGGTGTAAATTAGGGTGCAAATTGTTGTTTGAGAAAAAAGGACTAAATTACATGTTTAGTCATCCAAATTATATAAATCTTTTCACGTTTGCCACTGGAATCACTTTCCTTTCTTATTCGCCACTAACTTTACGAATCTTTTCACAATTCATCACCAGCCGTTAGACTCTGTTAAATTTGTTCTACGTGACAATCAACTATAAAGTTTGACCGTTTACTGGAAATTCAAAAATTAATATTTATTTTTTACCTCATCATTCCACTTATTTTGTCTTCATCATATTTATTATTTAATAAAATTAATTATTTAATAACTTTCACCAATGTAAAACTTTCCTACGTGTACTCATTTGGAATTTTACTGCAATTAGCCTACTCTTTCTCCCCGATTCGAAATCTAGGTTTGGTAGAGATTCCTGTGAATTGAAAAGGGTAAACATCTAATTTGTATGTTAACTTCAACATTTGCTTCCATAACTTAATCATGCAATGTTCCATTCATGTTAATCGAATCTGAGTATCACTGTTCTCCAACATCTATTATATTGCCTTACCGAGAAGGGGACAAGCAGGGGGATTGAACCGACGAGAAGCTTTATGGGAAGCAAACAAGCACCGAACTAGGCTACCATAAACGAGGATGAGGGAGTCGGGTGGCAGAAATATAAATTTGTTTAAAGACGAGGATGAGGAGGGAGTCCGGGAGGCGGTGGAAGTGGTCGATCCCGGCGGCGGAGCAGCATGATGGGTCGGCCTCTGGGTAGATTCTGGGGGTCGGATCTAGGCGAATTGAGACCGCCATGATTATCATGTCCTATTAGGGGAAAACGGAAGATTTTCACCGATGCCGCTGCAATTCAAATCTCTAACGGTCAATAATGGAGCAGAGTCGTCTACAAGAGGGAAGGAGATGATTCAAAGCGACGCCGTTCCACCATCAGCAGAGTTAAACAAACGTTCGTGGAGTGACGTCGTTACTGGCAAAGTGCCAATCAGTACCTGATCTTATTTCAATATTTTACCATTTTCGGCCTGTACTTTCTTTTTCCCTACGTTTTGTCTTCTTTCTTGAATTGTAAGTTACTGCTGAACTATGTACTGTCCTACTCAGCTATATAAGCTGAAGAGTGAAATGAGAAGAACCTAGGGTTTTAGGGTTTTCCAAACAAAGCGTTATTATGGTATCAGAGCCCTTCTAAACCCTAGCCGCCACAAACATGGCCGACAATGTTCAAGCAGATCCAGCTGCTGCTGCTGCAAATGCACAGCCTCAGCTTGCTGTTGATCCTATGGCAGATCCCTACTATTTGCATGGTTCTGAGCAGCTAGGTCTGATCTTGGTGGGTGAGAAATGTTTGTGCTTGGATCGTACCAAGCGGTTTTGTGAGTCCCGAAGGCCTCAAGCGACTTCGATGGTCAAAGGCGGTCTCCGAATCCCTGCAAGAAAGGTCCTCAGGGGGATCCTGGGACCTCCTCCGATGCCTAAGTTAGAGAGAGGATTGAGAGAATAGTAAATAAGAGAGAGAATGGAGTAGTTGGAAGTTACCATAAATGTGATCCATTGATGGGTATTTAAGCATAGGAGTGAGGACAACTGATGCATTGTCAGGCAACCTAGGGGCGCCTCTGGCCTCAATTAAATGCATGGTCAGATTCGTACTTTGGTCAGTGTCCGTATTGGGTTTGTCAGGACGCCGTACATGCCTGTTGTCGGGCGCCTGACATGTTTCCGTTGAATACATGTCGGGTGGTTTCCATCGTGCTAAGGAAGACCGCCTCCGGGTTGGGTTTGTATGTCTAATGGGCCTTTAGTGATCATGGGCTTGGGGGCCCATATGTCCCTGTGAAGAGAAATGTGGGGCCCTCTGGAGGAGCCGCTCTTGTTTCACAAGGTATGATCCGCTCTTCTCCCACGCGAACCGCCTCTGAGTGCGTGTGGGATTTATCCAAGCTAGAATTGTACGTTGGGAGTGGTTTTGAATAACGAGATTATCTTGTCGGAATCAATTTAGACTTAGATAACTCTTTTACTAACATCTGCCCTGTACCAACTGGGGTTATGGCTACTTCATCCGCGGTTGGGGGATAACATGGGTGATTTTGAGTGGGTAGGTTTAGATAGTATATCTTTGGACGAGGATGAGGCGGTTGACAGTGATGGTGTGCGCTCGGAGGCGCTTCCAAGTACTTCCTCTTCTCTAGTAATAGTGGATCCAGAGGGCGTTGAACCGCTTCCGCTTGCGATCAAGGATTCGGTTTATACGGTTCAGGATGTGGGGCGCTCAGCCTGCCCCCCCCCCCCCGACGTGTTTGCACTGGGGCCGAGTTATGAAGCGATTTTTAAGCCTGAACAGGTGCTTTACCGCCTGAAGTCGCTCCACCTTCCTCCTGATTGGCATTATGCGACCCCCTCGTAGGTGAGCCGCTCCGGGTCTTGTCCGGTTTGTTGGATTCCGATCTATGTGGAACAGGTGAAGTTGGGGTTGCGTTTCCTGCTTGACCCCATTTTGACTAAGGTCTTGCACTGGCTTGGTTGCACCCTAGGGCTCTTGTCGCCTACCATCATTTTTCATTCAGTGATGTACCGGCTGGCGTGTGACCGCCTTAAGGAGGAGCCGTCTTTTGACACCTTTCGCTTGATCTACAATATTCGTGATTCGACCAACTGTTGGTCAATTGGGACGCGGGAGAACTCCGTGGGTTTTGTCATTGGGGCACCTAAGTTGGATTCACCCTGGTACAAAGAATACTTCTTTGCGCGTCCATCATGGAAGTGGTATGCGGGAGTGTCGAACCGCTCACGGGTTACGCGGTTGGTTCTAAGGATGCTGGGTGCGCTTCCCATCAGTTCCCTCAATCTGTGAAGGACCACGTAACCCGCATCGTAGAGTGTTTTCAGCTGCGTGTGCTTCACAGCGGTCCTGAGAGTGCATACCAGCACGTTCGTGGTTTTTATGGTTAGTAGAATTTTGTCTGACTGTTTATGCTCTTCCTTCTCTCATGCCGTTTTACTTATGCGTCTTTTTTCCAGGTTTGAGGGAGCTTGCCGATGCTAACCGGCCGAAGGTGAAGAAGAGGGTTGTGAAGGTGAAGACTGGTGTTGCGTCCTCATCAGCGGCGGTCCAGGAGAAGTCTGTTCCCGTGGTTGCTCCGACGTTGGCGTCCGGCATTCCTGCGACGGTGGCCACTTCGTCTACCCCCTTGACGCGAGGTGCGGGGAAGAGGCTCCAAGAGCCCAACGCTCCACTGGCGGCTGCCAAACGTGTGAAGGCAGGAGCGTCACCGGCCAAAGCAGGAGGTAATCGCGGCAAGACCGCTCAACATTCTGACCAACCGCACCCGGTGGAAGTATCTCCTCTGGCGGCCACCGACACT